ATATATATAAATATATATAAATGTCCTTGATACGCATTAGCATTACTCCAATGAATATCAGCATGATTATTTTGGAGTTGACAATGTTTGTGATGTCATTGGTGTCATGGCCGCTCCGATCATTATACTCTACATCTCTCGTGACCAGGGGTGTCAAACTCAGTTTGGTTCACGGGCTGCATATAATGTAATGTCAAGTCAAGTGGGCCAGACCAGTACAAACATAACATGATTAACAATGTTTTTCCCATTTGTTTATTATTTATTATTATTATTTAATATGTAATGAAATTACAAAAAAAAAAAAAAAAATCATGATCATGAAGTATTTGTGTTTGACACACTTACGTTTCAAGTTTTGAACCATAATGGAGTTTTGGGCTCCAACATTTTGGATCTCCAATGTAAAAAGCTGCCCACTGCTCCCCTTGGTGATGGGTTAAAAGCAGAGGCTCAGTTTCGTTGTATCCCTGTGGTACAATTACAATACAGACCATAAGATAAATAATTAAAAAAAATAAAACCTATTTAAACCTTATTTAAATTCCCACATGTACCACTAGAGAGAGCCCTAATGCCACCAGGGTTGCTTAAGTTTGAGAACCACCGGAGTTGGCTGAATTAACCAGTCAAAACTATCAAAATATACACATAAAAAAAAAAAAAAAAAAAAAAAAAAAAATTATGGGGGATGAATATTATCGTACAATTATTACACACTGAAATATGCACCATACATCATATATTAGTATGTCTTTATATATAAATATAAAATGTGTGTTTGTGAGGGTCAGTTTTAGGCCAGTTTTTGCCGTTAATATTTTGATTTTTAGTTAAATGTCTGGTAAGAAGTTAAATAAACCTGTTATTCCTGTCCATGTTTTGGTTGTTATTTGCACAACATCAGGTTGCTTCATGCAGCGCGGTGTTAGTAGAGGAAGCAGAGCCGGGACATGCTCAGACAAACAGCCCCAACGATGAATGGGAGCTGCAGGATATCTCAAATATCCGTACTGGATTACCACACTGCTCCACACCGAACAAAATCAAACTAACACGGGCTTCTTACCGTGTCCGGTTCCGCAGGAATATCAGCTTGATCAGGGGATGCGTGAAATTCACCAGGCCGTTCTTAGATATGCTGGTGACCCGAAGCTTGTGGTCCAGTATGTGCAAGTCCATGTTTTTCTCGGTGGTGAGCGCTGCAGTGTGTCCCTCAGCGTGTGAGAGTGACTGGAAGACAGGCAGAGAGTAACACGGCGGAGGGAAGGCAGAGCATACAGCGGTGAAAACGGCCTTCGAGGTGACTGGTATCACCCAGGCTTTAGACCCAAGTCTGGATCAAACGCAGTCTTGATGAGAGGCAGCAGCAGCGGCGGTTAGTAGCAGTTATGTGCGTTAAAGACGCTGCGAAGAAGCTGAAAAACATCCGTAACAGCCTTGTCAAACTCCTACTGTATATTCAAATAAAGGGACAGACTCAGCGATGACACACCCCCTCTTCTTAAAGCTACAGGTCTGAGGCCTTCATCCCAGCCTTATAAAATA